AATATAAATTATGACCAATAGTAAACAAGTCGACGCCCAACTACCTGATTGAATGTCGCTCAGACGTGAGACCAACATCGTGCTGCATCGAGACAGGTTACTACAGTACACTAGGTACCTACATTACTACAGTACAATTCTCAGTGATAGCGAGCTAGACGAGCGGCGAGCACCGCAGTTTCAAAACATACGGAATATTTGAGTATGTACATCCTATTTAGGGTTACCACCCGTACTTTATAATAAAGTATTGTACGTTATTTCAGGTAATTGTACTCTATGCTTTATGTGAACAATAAAGTAGATGAAAATACTTTATTTCGCTAGATTTGATTTCTTTGAGATTTTGAAAAGTTTAGTCGAATGTATCTTTTCATTAAACGAAATTTATCGATTGGTGCTGACTGAATCGATTTTATTCATTATTTATTTTAATCTAAATATAGAATGTAAAGATGCCGTGCAATTATTTAATAGAGATACTAATTTGATAAAAACTGCAAAAAGCAATAAAAAATATGTTTTAAAATAAACAATAACAAGAAAGAAAAATAAATTGTACTTTATTTTGATATTATCTCCGTTTTTTCTTACCTATAATAACCAATGTATTTTCACTGCAAAAAAGGTGACAACCCTAATCCTATTCCGATATTTTGTATATACTGTATGAAATCTTTACCCACGGCCTATAGAAAAAATAGAGTAGGAAGTTTAGATAAACATCTCTAGTTTACGAATATTTATGTCGCATTAATGCAGACAATGGGATTCAGACCAAAATATGACAAACAAAAATAATATATTAAAGTTAATCATTTAGGAGGAATATGGTAACTAACTTATAAGACGAGAATGTTATATATAAGATATATGAAGATTTATAATAAGGTTTCGGATATTAATATAAGTTATTTTGTTCATCTAACTAAATGCATTGAAATTACTTTAATTTAACCGTTTTTTTACTTTTTGTTTTGTTTGTATTTTTACTTGTTCACTAAATACCAATTCATTTTATCTTTTTTAATTAAATGGTTTAAAAAAAATTACTACATAAAATTAATAGTTGGTTAATACTGATTTTTGTAGGAAAACTTTTGTTAACTGGGTCATATTTTGCCCAATCACATTTGATGCGGTCATTATTTATGCGTATAATTAGTAACCCACGTTTTTTTTATTGAGTTTCCGTAAGCATATCCTCTTGACTTTTCATATGTTTTGAAAGTATATGTTTGCTATAATTACGTTGTTTTTTATTTTAAAGTATGAATATAGTTCCATGCGAATACAAATATAGTTGCATGTCTGTCTGTCCATCTGTATAAATGTTACGTTTAGACTACTAAACAATTGAATCGATCTCAGATTATGCCATATAACATAGTTCTTATAAAATACGAACACTTCGCAGGTAATAGCTATTTAATGATTACAGTATGTACACTGACATTAAACGTGGTTATTTGTATGTGTGTTCATATAACAAATGACGTAAAGTATAAGAAATGTTGAATAATGACGATAAGAAATGTGACGCATTCACGGATGAGCAAAAAAGGACTACGCTTTATATACAACTAGCTGTGCCCGCGGTTTCACCCGCGTGTAATTTATAGCATATATGTTATTCCGATGTATAAGCTATACTACTGCAAAGTTTCATCAAAATCCGTTCCGTAGTTTTTGCGTGATAGAGTAACAAACATCCATACTCACAAACGTTCGCGTTCATAATTATTATTATATATTAACTAGCTGCCCCGCAAAGTTGTTTCGCCATATACCTAAATGAAAATCGCTATTATAAAATAGGTGCTGATGGTAGAAGGGTGAAAATTTGGGGCTATATGTATTTTTTAATGCCACATAATAAAAAAAACTGTAATAAACATATTTTTTTTATAAAAAAATTGTTATTAGGCACCCTTAACACTTAGGGTTATAAAAATTTGTTATAAACCATTCAATAACAACATTCTCAGACTTACTGAATATACATATATAAAATATCATCATAATCGGTCAAGTCATTTCAGAGGACTATAAACACGACACCTGTGACACGAGAATTTTATATATTAGCTAACAATAAGACATAGAGATGAAACGTTCAAATTTCAACGTTAATCAGCAGTATTCACTCCATTTCGAAATCACAAAGTGTTACATATATATCGTACATGTAGTGTTGGTATGTTTTAACTGGCCGTGAAAGCCGCTGAATAGGATTACCGCCTATGATGTATTGGCGTGCACCACGTCCGTCTGACACGTCATAGGCATGTATTGTAGCGAGCATGAGTCGCTCAGGGGCTGAATTGACTAATGTTTATTGGCGCTTTATTTGTGTAGTACAATTGATTGATACGGAGAGTGGATTCCTCAATTACTTAACTATTTCCTATCTATACATGCAGTAATTTATATGTCCTGGTACACTAAATTAATATGTCACCAATTGTTTTCTATAATGTATCAGAATGCATTCAAATATTCGTAAGAGGAAATTAAATAGTTATGTTTTCTATTTTCCATGTCATATTTTCTCACCATTTAAACATTATTGGAGTTCTAAAAATATGTCAAAAATAAAATTAGCCAAATCTGTCCAGTTGTTCTCGAGTTGTAGCAAGACTAACAAATGTCATTTCACTTTTATATATAAAAAAAAGAAAGAAGATTGTAATAATGGAGGAGCGTCTTTCAGGGGACTAGTTGACCCATTGCTAGTAATATGTCACGTCAAATCGACCTTCAATCAGTTCCCCTGGAGACTATCGTTAATTCCTGGTCAATTTTCCATGATGGGCTGAGTTACTTCGTGACGTTGTCTTGCAGTTTTATTTTATATGTATATACCATATATATACTTAGGTAAAAAGAAAATACAGAAAAAGTCTTGGAATACGCAGATATATATTAGAAACGGTTGTCAAGACATTTAAGTATAAACAAGAATAAAATAACTGTAAATTTAAATATAAAGTTAGAATAATAAATACATTTCCGATTAGTCAGTAAAGTATACAACACGTTGACTCATTTTATCATCCTACACTAGTGCCCCGCCGGTGTGTATGTACCGTTAAAACACCAAATGCACCGTTCAATTACCATCCATTAAAAATGTAATGTTGTTATTCGCCTTTTGGATTCATTGATTAATGGGATGAATGATAAAAAGCCTCTAATAAACACCTCGATGAAGCATCCGAATATAATTATTTTATTTTACATTTTATAGTAACCCATTTATAAATTCGATATTATTTCCCACTATATTCGATGCAAATATATTCGCAGGCAGGCGATCGGGATCATATTCAATTATTTGTTGTATGCACAGTTAAATGCGTTTACTTTATAAGCGTTATTCGATTCCAAGTGTCACGCGAATACAGTAGCAGTGTAATTAGTAGGTACCACTTATGACAGTACTAATGTATTACGTTATCTCTGACAGTATACACAACAAATGGACGTAGTAATTTGAATTTTCAATTTCGTCTGGAATATCTTTTCGACCACGTCTAGTTCAAACCGTAGAATTTGCTTTATCGTGTAGTGTCTCTGAATCGTAAAAACATTCAGCGACCTCACCCGTTTCTTCTTGAAATGTACTTCATATTTTCTGTACGAATATTAAAACTGCGTTCTTATTTATATACATTATAAATTATTGTATACCTGAAAGGGTGCTGTTTTCATGAAAAGTACGTTCACAACTATATTTTCGTAATACTTTTTGGTACGATTTTACTCTCTTGAAATATTTTAATCAGATAAGTTTTAGAGAAAACTTTATTGAAATGTTTTTTTATTTAAATCATATGCATATTCCCTAATTGTGATTACAATAGACTTTTCGGAGATAGTGAGAAACTAAATATAGTATTTAAACTAACTAAATATGTTGGTTAATTCATTTAGTTATATAAACTGTTATTTCAGTATACCTATCATAATTGTACTTTCATTGTTGATTAGAATGATTATGTCATGTTAATTTAATAAATGATAAGTATACGTAGGTACAAACTACGATTTGAAAATAGACTGATAAAGAAATATTAAAACTTTATTTACCTTAACATTTGTTTATCAATTATTACGTGTTTTATTTTTACGTACGTACGTGTTATATATTTGTCATTTAACTATTGGAAAGAAATACTTTTTAAAACACAATAACGTTTGTAAACAAAAATCTAACGTACTGATTGATGTTACGTATTTATCGGTTAACGTGTTTGTTTACAAGGCGTACCTTCAACATTATAAACATTAAATACGGAATTTCTATTATTTTGCGTAAAACACCTACGTAGCGTATGTTTTTATTGAGAAAATTCTATAATATTGTCTTGCAATATTCGGTAAACAGTCTGAGCGTCTTTGCTCGACCATGAACGCGAAAAAAGGCTAAAGTCATCGAGTGCTCTCACTTTAGACGAGGACAATGGGTTGTCGGGTGTTTTGAAACATGACGCCTTGTCTACGTCACTTGTTCTGATAACGATCCCAAATGACTTTATACGTTATTATGATTCTTACGAAACTGTTTATTATTAGTTCAAGCGCATTCGCCGACGTTTTCGCTGTAGCTCCTTGTAATTGATTCATTTATATAATACGTTTAGGAATCGCTGATATTGAAAGTTACCAGCAAATGCGTATTCCAGTCGCGAAGCATTATCCATCCACAGTCGCATTTGCAGAATCCCGTAACCTAAACATGTTGTTTGTATGTTTTTACTGTAAAATAAGTATTTATGAAATATTAATTTTGTTATATTAGAACAGGTTAACGAGCGATTAAGTGTGAAAGGTGCTCGTATACTTTAAGGTTTTTTTCATTCAAGTTTATCATCGACTGTGGATCGCCAGCTGCGTTGCGGACTATAGATGAACAAACGCTCAGCTTCGTAAAACGAGTAGAGGGAGCGAGGACGACGGGACTACGTTTGTCCTTGGCGAGGACAGAGGTGACTCACCGAGAGGCTGGTGGAGCGCGGCGTGCGCGTCGCAGTCGGCACAAATGGTAGAACGGAGCATTCTTTCACGTTGTAGTCGACGTAGCAGTTGAAGGTGCTGCGGCGTGAACACCGTGCCGGATCTCTCGCCCACCAAAACCACGTCGCCGGCGTCCCACCACGCTTGTTCCCGTAGAGTCCCGTCCCGATTGAACAGCCCCATATCTTTGTACCCCTCCGGAGGACTGAGCGCCCCGGGCTCGGGTTCCTGGTGGCGCTCGCATGCTCCACAACCGGAGCATTCTTCGCCTTCTCCTTCATCGGAATACCCACATTCGTCTCGCACCACGATAATATAATCGGCCTCGAAAAATTCATTTGCGCTCTCATCAAATACCACCCTATGCTTTTTGGCCCTGGTCCCCTTTTTCAGTGACGATTTTAAGTTTTCGTGATCTTTATTATGGCGCGTGTCGCGGGCGGCACGGTCGCCACGCATCGTCGCGTGTTGTCGCGACGCGGGCAGTCGCCGGAGTGTCGTAAGACGGCGACGACGCCGCGACGGGCGGATCGTCGACTGCAGCGCCGCGCCCGCCCGCCCGCCTATCGATCGCAGCCGCCCGCCCGTTTCGACAACGCGACGCGACCATCAAAACGACCATCTACACAAACACCGTCGAGATACCATACCCGCCATAAACATTCGTCACTGCCTCTCATCAATTAGACACGTTAAACATTACATATACTCCATCCACAGCCGTACTGCGAACTAACACAGAAAGTAAATAACTCGCCGCGATCGTGCTACAGAATTGAACGGATCGAATTTGAAACCCGATCAAGATTTATATTATATTTTTTTTTTTAAATAAAGTACGCAAGTACCTCTTTGTATTAAACAGATTATATATTTTTTTATCTTCTGAAAAAAATATGTAAACAATACGTAAATTATACGTCTATGAGATCGTTCTGTAACTAAAAGTTTCCAGAGTAATACAAAATCAACCAAGAAGTATTTACTTGTGAATACATCAAGATTTATATATAATTTTTATTTTTCTTCAATAAAGCACGCAGGTACCTCTTTGAATTAAACATATTATATAATATAATTTTTATCTACTGAAAAAAATTATAAACAACAAGAATATTATACGTTTTTGAGATCGTTCTGCAACTAAAAGTTCAAGAGCAATAAAAAATAAACCAAGTAGTATTTACTTGTGAATATACAAGTAGATACTGACTAATTATATGCGATTAGTTCACCGCAGGGGAGGCTGGAATACCGCTGCGCCTGCAACACCTCACGAGAGCGTGTATTTATGGTAAACAATAACATTGTGCTCCTGCCCTCACTGAAGGTTCTTTAGGTATTCGTTTAAGATTACAGGCACCCTGATCTTGCCATTAAACACAAGTGGTCAGACACCAGAATAATGGAAAAATTAATAACTTATGTCGCTGCAAAAAGACAAAAATAATAGACCTAATTAATTAATCGCATAAAAGACATTTTTATGAAATATTTTATATGTAATTACAAGAAATTATGGTTACAATAATATTTGTATTTTCTGGAGATATTGATGTACTGGCCTCGGCTTCACACGGGCGTACATGTATTATATATATAAACCTTCCTCTAGGATCACTCTATCTATTAAAAAAAAACTTCAAAATCCGTTGCGTAGTTTTAAAATTTTAAGCTTACATAGGGAACAGACAGCGACAGCGACTTTGATTTGATTTATACTATGTAATGATGATAATAATGATATATAACCAAATAATCTTTTATTTATATTATTAGTTACTGTATTGAACGTTTTGAGACACTTAATTATCTGTATGCGACTTACTTTATCGCGTTTTAATTCGTGAAACATTTTATTCAAGAAGGAATAAAATATCCCTGATTTTATACGATCCGACCGTCATTATTGTACAACGATTCTGATAATCCATCTAATATTAGGCAGACATGAGGCAAACATTTTTTTATGTTAAGGGTTGTATATAAACTCATATATTGGTTTACACCAGGATTTCGCCTTCTACACTCTGTATTTAAATTTATACTCATGTAAAGAGTGAAGTTTATTTACATTTATATTATATGATACAAGCTGACTTTTGACTATACAAATTACTTCTGAATAGGCTACCATTATCAACTACGGATATAAAAAATAACTAGTTATCTCTAAATGGATACATAAATAATAACTATTGCCAGAGTTATCAAAATGTACACCAAAATTTACATAAAACTCGATTAAACTGTTTCGCGAGATATTTATATATTAAACTAGCTGTGGCCGCGAATTCGTCCACGTGGAGTAGACAACGAATGACGAATTTCCATACAAACATTCATCAGATATTTGTTTTATCTACTTTTAAAAAATTTACACACTCAATTTTTTTTTTTTTTTATATTTAATCAAATGCCTATAAAATAAGTTTCTAGGTTTTAACTTTAAACATTATGATATTTTCTATACAACCTTTCATCTCCTCTTTCAATTCCTTACAATCCTTTTTTCACATTAAAAAGTAGCCTATATCCTTTCGACTCTCGAGGAATCTGTACGAAATTTAATTTTAATTGATTTAGTTATTTTGGCGTGATAGCGCGACTGACAGATAGAGTTACTTGCGTTTATAATATTAGTAACGAGTAAGGATTGTATGATTATTATTGCATGCATTATATTACTTATATTACTGAATAGATTATACCGTTATATTGCCACATGATCGCGTGTTGACATCGATAATGTATAAGCGATGCAGATACAGTATGTCATGTGAATGTCCGCTAAGAATTTGGGTCATGACGAAGGAATAGGAACAGTCCCATAAAAAGCTAATATCATCCGCGATAGGTAATCAATGGTAATAACGCTTGATACTGACAAAAGTACCAGTGTCAAATGATATGATGAGAGTGGATTCACTATCATTATTATTGTTAGATAATATAAAACAAGTCGCTGTCACCGCCTGTCATTATGTATGCTTAAATCTTTAAAACAAGGCAACGGATTTTGAAACGTCTTTCTCAATAGGTAGACTGATTTAAGGGAGAGGTTTATGTATATAATACACACATACCCGTGCGAAGCCGGCGCGAGTAGCTAGTGTTCAAATAAGAGGAATCCCCCTCCAATCAATCCCCCGTCAATTCAAACGGAGATCGAAATTACGACGGTCTGAGCTGAAGTTCGAACTCCTAGTGATGCTCACAGACTAAAGTCTATATATCATATAAATGTTTATATACCATATAGTAACAGAAAGTTTCGAGAAGTCAGAATTATATATTATAAATACAAAATGTATTTTTAGCGTAAATTCTACCAATCAATGATCATGGTCTGGTATTCATTTCAGTACGATATTAGTACCTGTTGCAGATATTTTTAATCTTGAGATGCGTCTTCAACCACCTGTGGTACAGCCTCCTATCTCGGCCTGCATAATGAACATTGAATTGCCTTGTTACATCTCGACCAGACTCAAGTACAATCGCATCTCTCTACCCTAAGGTTGCCTGAAAGAAATCACTTTTCAGCGATAAGGCCGCTCATTGTTGCAAGAGAGAGCTTGCCCATTGTTATATATTTGTACATAATAGTAGATATAAATGTTTGATATTTTTCTGTGACAGCTTGTTATGAGTACTAGACAACTGATATAAATATTTAGATATTTTCTGTAATTACATACATAATATATACCGATACAAACCACAAACACTCATGAATACAAATGTGTACGGTGCAAGGAATCGAACTCGCGACCATCATAGAAAAGCGATGTCGCCGTTGGCACTAAAAACTGAAAAGTACATCAAGTTGTGATACTAATGGTACTTACAAGTTCATGCCTCATGCCTCATCCGAAGAACAAAGTTGTCACGCATCTATACCTCCAAGAATTTTCCTTTCATTTCATAGTACTATTTACTACCAATAATTTATCATATTTTCTACTATAGTCTGTAATTTGATCACGGATACTAAATTGACAGGTGTAAATGTCAAATTGTCAAATAATGTTACCACCTATAGCGCGGTAGTGGTGTACCTGCCATACCGATTTGTCTAATCGGAAACTTTCATTTTAACATATTAGTTGTAAAACTTTAAATGATATTTCCACGATAGATTTTTAAAATTTACGTACATATTACATTTTTGTAATAATGTGTTTAAAATATACATCCTCATATTATTTCTGATAACCAATAGAAATGGGTAATTAATATTAATTTCCGATAGTGCCACAACTCTATTTAAAAAATATTATAATCTGGTATTATCGGTAATGTTAAATTTGTCTCCGGGATTAAAAAACAGACTAAAGATAACTCAATACACTTTGTATCGCCTACAATATATTTTATAACAACTTTTGATCAATGACTGTCAATCGTAATCAACTTTAAGCCTACAATTCATTTTAATCAATAATGAATAGATGACTCTCGTATAAATCAAATATCGTTGAGTTTTTAAATAAATAAGGCAATAAGTTTTCCTTTTATGCAAATAAGTGGAATGACAAATGGTAAATAAAATATATTATACAGTTTTGACGGCCACGGTGGTCTAGGGGTTTAACACACCGCTTTACTTCCGATGGTCGTGGGTTCGATATCTCGCACGGTGTCAACATTTGTATTCATGAGTATGATTGTATCGGTCTGGGTGTTTTCTTGTGTACGTTATGTATTAATTTATAAAAAGAACTACGTATATCTATCAGTTCTCTAGTACCCACAAGCTCTGCTTACCCAGGGACTAACTAAAACTTGAACTAACTGTGTTAATTGTCCAGGATTATTTTTATTATTATTAGTTTTGTGTAATATCGTATATCATTTGATAGATTCACCGCTGTCACATAAACTCAATGAACCAAATTAACTATTGAACGCAAGATATTATATACATGAAAGTGATCAACAGTCTACAAAATAAAATCTACGTATCTTTTATGTTATTATTTTTAACTGAACTTCAGGTGGTCGGATAGTATTTTTTTCTGAAGATTTCGCTACATTATGATGAATAAAATAAGTGAAATATTGAAATTAGTCTGTTTTTATATATTGTTATAGATTCTATTACACGGCGTCTTCTGGGTCTTCTGGAATCAGCAATAACATAAAGACAATCAGCAAACTTCACATGCAGAAAAAAACAACACACAACGTACGTAAAATAAATCTTCCCGCCTTTTTCTTCTTTATAAAATCGCGTATAGAATTTGACATCTAAATGTAATAGAGGTATCTTATACTCATTGTAAATAATGTTGATCTCGTAAATTATGTAATAATTATGATACCCAAAAAAGTAATACATTAAAAAAAACAATCTATACATTTCTACTTTATGCGCAAGTAAAATATGTTGTGTAGCATTTTCTTAACGATCTCATCATCGTTCAGACCAAAGATAATATTGCTGAAGACAAACTACGGTAGACCTTAGTATCCGGGTCGAAAGACAAACAATATGTGTGATTTGTATGTTCGACATTCATTATTTTAATACTCACCTGTCTACTATGAGCATTCAGGTTATTTATATTTTAAGGTATTTTCATAACAGTAGCCAGCAAGGAAGTAACTATTATGTAATATAGTTACTACTAGGAAGGAAAGGGGATTGTTAGTAATGTGGACTGACGATCTTATTGCTAGTAATGTTCCATGTCAGGTTGACCTCCAGGCGGTTCCCCCTAGATACCAGCTAAATGGCCTGACCTCATCATGAACATCTTATTATCCTCCACTGGTACCCCGCCAGCGTAAATCGTTAGCGCAGGCGGGTGCACAATTCCATTATTATCCACAATATATATAGATATATATATGCTTACTACTTATATTTATATAACTATCCGACTCACTAGTAGTGATATTAACAAAATAAAATTTACTTTTTGTACTAAATCGATTACGTGACCGCATCGATGAACAATTTTTGATAGTGGATGATTTTGGTACGTACACTACAGTCCAAATCAAAATTAGAAGAAGTAAAAATGGAAATTAAAAAATAAATTGATAAGTTTTTAAATATTATGTATATATAGCCTACAGTCGTCCATTTGATAATAGATCGAATTGAATCAATGTATATAATCAGTATAATTTTCATAAATGTCGCTTCAGTGAATGCATAATTACGACCCACAATCTCACAAATTCACTAACTTTGCCTCTTTATAATATTAGTGTTGATTTAAATGCTCCCGCTACATTTCGTGGACGAAGATATAAATAATATTTAACTGTGATTGATAATAAACTGATGTCATTCATCATCATTCAATATTAGAATCCTTAGATAGTGTACTCTGTGCCAGGTTTAAATTTAATTTGATTCTACTTTCGCAGTAGAATCAAATTAAATTTTGTTGAACATCTTTTCCGCTTACATTATAGCTGCTGCTATTATCTAGATTATAAAAAGAAGTTCTATATATAATGTTAAAATGCCGAGGTGGTCTTCTAAACATAGTGGTTATTTGCTAAGTTGTCTATGCTACGTGCATTGATGCCATATTGAAGGTTTTTCCCCACAAATTGGGTTATATTTTGATGTTGTGTCGCGTTACATTGTTGGTAGACAAAAATGTTTGGGTGGGATTCGTAAGGACGAAAAACAAAACTAAAGTTTGGAGGTTATAGTAGTTTTTACCATATTAATGTTAACCCAAAAATCTGAAATTCAAACGCTAGAGAATGAAACAAGTGACCAAATAAAAAATAGAAAACACAATATATTGAGAGGAAAGAGATTGTTATGAGTGGCACTTAGAATATTGCTAGCTAATCTCCACACACCTAATTAGTTTCTTAATACTTGGTAAATTGGCGACAAAAAAAAAATAGAAGTTGTAGGGAATTTATCACTATGGAGTGTAAATACAGTCTTTCTTTATTAATCAATTTTTCAAAAGGTTCGAGCATACTCTGTGAACATTTTGAAGCTAGAATGACATATTATGACGGCCGGATTGACATATTATGACGGCAGGAATGACATATTATGACGGCAGGAATGACATATTATGACGGCCGGAATGACACATTTGATTTTTTTGACTTAAGAACCAACTGACATTCACATTCAAGCTCACGATTTCGTTCTCTAGTTTCATTTCATTCGTTTTCATTTCAAGACTGTTTACAAAAATAAAATTATCTGATTTATTATTCAATGCTTAATTACTTTTCTCTTGTTAATAACGTTTGTGAAGTCACTAAGTCGCCAACAAGTATTTATAGTGGTTAAAAGAAATGAAGAGTAAATTACGGTAAGTGAATAAGTGAAATTAATATTATGATTCACACTCGCACTGCCCAGATGGCATTTTTTTTCTATAAGTGTTATATGATATTTATTTTTATACTTATCTTATTATAAAAGCCTATCAACATCATATATATGTAGATATAAAAATAACTTTTTTAAGTAAATATCTATGTATAGTAATTACTTCCTCCCTAAAATAACGTAGCTCTTGTTTGTTCTTGTTTTAGACTTCCTTTAGACTTCCTTTATTTAAAATGAAAACCATTTAAATCTGAAACTAAATTTGAACATAATAGACAATAGTGTATAAATGATTACATTGTAAATATTGACTATGAATAAATTATTTAATGTTCAGAATGTGTGAAACAAGAACTGTTGGTATGAATGGTAGTTAGGTATTGTAGAAAATTTACTTTCTGTTCTTGTTAAAAACTATCATATCATTTTGTTACAATGTTTTATTTTACGAAATATGTATGTTCATGATGTTTCTATTTAGCATTTTGTTGCTATTAAATTTTCAAATTAATAAATCTGAGAATTCTGATATTCATCATATTTATTTTAGACAAATTATACTAAAATGTCATTTAACATATATATTTATATATATACATGTATAAATATATATATACTCCTATAATAAAATCTCCAGGGCAATGTTGAATCTAAGAAATATATAAAATATGTGTTTAACATTGAGGTCAAGAAGATGTAAGATATTATAAAATAACTCTACATAATTGTGTTTACAACTTTTTAGTTGGTTTTTTGTGTTGACCTTCAGGGTGTCATAGGAAGCTATGATATGTCTTTATTTAATTTGTGTGCCAGCTCAGTGCTGATGTCACTTCCAAGTTTAGGTTTTAGAATCAATATCACCATTAGACAGCGAGGCAAATTACATTATTATTTATGTTATTCTCATATTTTTACATTTTCCAAAAATATGGTTATTATTTGTTGGTTGTATTGTCATAGAATTGAAGATTGTTTTTTACTAATAATACAATATATACATATATATATGTTGTGTGGGACTGTGTGTAGTGCCCTAGAATCTGTGCACCCAATGATGGTAGTAGTAGTTATTAAAGGTTTTTTTTTAATTTCTCATTGGATATGTATATTAATTAACTTGAGCCTGTAATTTGATACAGCAAAAATTGTAATTGTATAATGTGTTTCTTGGAGGGGATGCTAAATTACAACTATGTAAATACATTTGCATTATATTATATATTAATATATTAGTTAATACTTAAATATAATATATATATGTATATATTATATTTCTTTTTCAATTGTAATTATGAGGTTTTATATTTTTATGTTATGTTGATATTTTTAAGGTTACTTCAGTATGTTTAGCCAGTTGGTCATACAAAATCAGAGCTTCTGGCTTTTTTATGAATTATGCATTTAGTAAGATGATCCTATTTCTCTGTTGGTTTATTGTTGTTATTAATTCCTGAAATTGTAGTACTTAGACTGAAGGTCTGTGGTGTATAGTGTACCATATATGTATATAACATGTTATCTATAATAATAAATGTGATCTGTATCCGAACCCTCGAGTAGTGATTTATGCTAGACATTAAATATTGCATAGAGTATTAAATATGGAATTGAATAATATTTATTACATCACACATCACAACACAACAATGATGATGCTCACAGCAGGATATATAAATTAATATATCATATATTTAGAATATATGCATTTCATATGAAATGATGAAGATATAGTTATCTAAATTTAAGGAAAAATAATAGTTTAATGGATAGACAAAATAGACATATAATAAAGAAAGAAGTCGGATGACTACAGAAAAGATAAACAGGACATCAAGATGGAATCAAATGATAAAAGAACTTAAGGCAATATTTAGAGGAAGTAAGAAGTAAGATATTTATAGAACTATTTGTAGATATAGGCAATACACCTGATTTTAGAAAGAGGAAATAATCAATAAATTATAGATATAGTTGGATGAAAATGGTGACTAATATTAAACAGTGAAAGTGAGTCTCAATATAATATAAGGATGAAAGTGTTTCTTACGGTACGGCTATGGATATGAATTGATATTCTAAATACTTTTGAACATTACTACATATTTCTGTACTAAATATTGTATTTATTGTTATGTTATATACTGATAAAGGTTGTCTGTAAACTGTCTTTGAATACTAATTTTGTTAATGTTAGTAGTAGTATACCATATACTGTAATAATAGATTAGTGTGTACATAAAAGTTGAATTGTAGCATTAAATGTTGCTATGTATAGTTTTAACTAATTGAAACTATTTTATTTAGAAAATTTTAATGAGTAATTAGAAAATATTTTGTGTATTAAGTAAATAGTTATATATATGCCAATTAGATAATTATGGATGTGGTAGCATTCCAATATAAGATGAAACCACAATATAATCTTAGTGACAGGAAACGATTCGCAGAAACAAACAACTTGGAAGTTACTTAGATTTGTTGAGTCAGATTTTTTTCTCTCATATATGCATGTTGGGTGTGGTCAATAAAGTTAATATTACAGTATGTATGCAGTTTATTAATTGAGTCGGGGTATCAATTTCTGCTCATTATGTGTTTAGTAATGTTATATGGTACAAATTCCATTCCCAATACAGATGAACTTGATAAGATTTTACTTGATGAATTCCAAGTACTTAATTTTAATGTGATGTTTTACATTTATTTAATTTCATATATAATCCGACATATTTGTGACGGCTAAATTATTTACTGGAATTTTAAAGAAGTTATATTTAGAATGGACTTATAAGTAACTTAAAATATTAATATGAGATGAATATTGATTAACAGCGTAAAGAGGACCTGTTTTGTGCAGAATTATTTTTTCTCAACTTTTATTTAAATCATTTTTTCATATATTCTTTATCAAGTTATTTTGAAAAAATGTGTATTTCAAATATTAACTTTTCCGAAATTAATATTTACTTTTCCGTCAACTTAATGAATCAGAATTTCTATCTCCAATATTATTATTCACGTATTTGTAGACTTATTTTGATTTATTGTGCCAAAACTGGTCACATTATTGTTTAAATTCGAACTTTATTTGACTATTATGAGTATATGACAGACGTATGTACTAAGACTTGCTATAAATAGTTAAAATTATTAAGACATAATTATTTTTTCAACTGTTTCTATGTACAACATGTTATCATTGTTTTATTAACTAAATAAATAATTATTGTTGCTTATTTTTAATATGTTTAAACTTATAATTAATTTTTACTTTAAATAGTTATTAATGTTCTTTAAAGGGAACTTTAACATTGACATTATCTCCCACGACCTACAAAAAAAAATTGAGTAGGAAGTTTAGATAAAATCAATGTCAAATCTCTATTTACGAATATATATTATATCACATTAATGCAGATAATGGGATTTAGTCCAAAATCCAAAAAAGAAAAATAATATAAAAAGGTTTCAGACATTTTTAATGATTTCTTGTTAGTACCAAGGATTTAAAAATAAAAATAAAGTAACAACAGAATTGTGTTTAAAACTAATGTTTTTTCGATATGATCACTGTCTAATTATATATGTATGCTGCTGACTACTCATTCATATTATGCAAACCTTTTTTGTTTTGTTTATTTAACAGAATTGGTATTGTTTTATCTAAACATCTTATATATAAAAATGCTCACAAAATACCGATTTACTATCCATCTTTTAATTTTTATTCCCATGGTTTGAAATAAAAATAACTATATAAATTTAACAATTTCACTTCATTTGATTCTTGTCAAAATCTGATCCAGTTTGATCAGATTTTGCATACTGATCATTAAATGGAAAAAAAAATATACAAACTATGTCTGTATGTATATTTTTTATTATTGCCGGGGAGGGGTCGTGTATATGGTACCAACCATATATATAACGGGTAATCTATTGTAATAACTACAGTCTGTATCCGAACTCGGGAGTAGTCATTCCTCCCAACGTAAGACTGGTCTGTCTAAATTCATTAGATTTAGTGGTTCATTTTAATAAATTACAATCCAAGAAGTTGGCAGATTAAAAAATTAATTATCAATTATATATATATAATAATAATTATTATTATATATATGAACTTTATTAGATATAGTGGTTCTTTTTTGTGGCAGATTAAAAATGTATTAATCAATTATACTATTTAAAGGTAATGGGCCTGTGTTGGTGCAAAGATAAGGCACCACATGAAGGAGGGGCGTACGCACCGCCTGCAGCAACCACTGCGGCGTCCCTGACTTCAGTGGAACCAAGGGTGCAGTTGCCTAAAGTTGTCGACTCACTAATAGTCGACCAGCTCGTCCTCGAGATGCTCACATTGATAGCTTCATTCGTTGACAAGTAAGGCTACATTTATATTCCTACTGATGATCTTTGAGCATTGACATAATAATAAGCCTTTGGGATTGCACTCAACTGTTGGTAATCAAGCGGTGAGGTGAAGTTCATGAATAATTGTTTACATAAGTTTGCTTAATATTTGTTTTGAATTTAGCATCAACTCTAAGGCTTATTATGTAAATGTTTTGAAAGATGTTTTCTAAGATTACACTTAGTATAAATTATATTATATAGTATTTTCGTAAATAATGAACCGATTTTGGAAATAGTTTTTACAATCTTTATGATTATCTCAAGATTACACTTACATTCTCCCTATCTCTTCGAATCTATTTATTTCTACAATTATTAAAAGGTATGTGACAATTTTTGATAGTTATTTCTTAATGATTATCCGACCCGTCTCTATTTTTAAATGTATAGTACTTGTATCTTTTTGGAAATAGTTTTACAGTCTATAGGATTATCCCCAGATCACACTTACATACATTCATCCCATCTATTTGAATCTATTTATTTTTGCAATTATTAAAAATTATGGGAATTTTTTTTTCGTTCCTTCTTGGCGTCTCGGAAGCTAGTCTCTCAATTTACCTCGGTATCCTCTACAAGTACTATATATAGTACTTGTAGAGGATACCTTCATCTTATCCCATTAAATCAATAAGAACCAATGACACGAACCTCGTCGCGGATATAAACTAACATTTACGTAAACACTTCATTGTCCATGATTTACTGAGCACATATTATTTATTATTGATATTAATATCACTAATGACTAGGGCAACAAACTAATATGCCAGTGCAGGATACAGATGACTGAGAATCTGTATCTACTCATCTAACTCTTATATAATTATCTTAAAAAGACACACAATGTGTGGGTATACCTATTAAATTAGACGGTAGGGAAATATATACAAAAATGTTGTTCTTAAGCGGCTAAAACGTCCTACAATTTGATTATATAGTATAAATGGTTTTTTATTTGATTAGATTTGAAAACGAAAGCATATGCTTACTTCGACACAGTTATATGAACTGATAAATATATATATGTACATATATTTATATATATCTTCTATATAAAAATGGATTGAGTCTCGCTAAAACTCGAGAACGGCTGAGTCGATTTGGTCAATTTTTTCGTGGCAGTCCATGGAAGGTTTAAACGGTGATAAAATTTGAAGTAATGTATATAAAAATATAAATTTGATGTAAAATAATACAATCAACAATTTTATTTTCCCATACAAACTGCTGATACCTGTCAAACAGGGTGCGTTCAGAAATTTATTGCGTAACTTTAAAAAACCTTTGACATGTTTATCTTTGAGACGGAACGTAGTTCGCGGGGTTAGCTAGTATATTTATTAACATAGTACCTATATAGCTTGGTTACTAACATAATATGGATGGAATTCCAAATAAAAAAAGCCTCTATATAAAATATGGTATATACTTATCCAGTAAAGATATTGACCTTTGTTCAGCATTCTGATGAAAAATAACAAATTACACTTTTATGCAAATAAAAATTTGTACTTTGCTTCGTGTGAGATTTTTTTTTTTCAATGTTTAAGTACCAATGCTATGAATAAATTTTGTATTCGTACATTTGTTGGTAATATACTAATTGATAATTAAAGTTATTCAATTTTCCTATGTTGGTATGTTTTGAACTGATCTTGTAAAAGGTGTTTTTACTTCAACTCTTTTTACATAGAATGTTTGTTACTACTATTAATTCTATTCTGAGTAGATTTTAGTAATTGTCTTATAATTTATTTATTTACTTAATACAGAAAACATGTGTACTAATTTACTGAAGAAACGATGATATTCACAGAAGTATAAAACTGTGTTGCGAATATCGACGCCCTCCACCTAGTTTATATAATTCCAAAAAAAAAATCCTTCACGAAATTATCTGTGTTTATCTACTTATAGGCTTCAATTTAATATTGTTATTATTAAATTAGTTTAAAACTACTTAAACTATTTTTTGTGTTTGGAATCAAATAGGCTACAACCCAATGAAAACTAATGAATGTATACACCAGTCTAATAATATAAATATCGCGGGCTTCGCAGAATGTCATATTAGACCTATGGTATATAATTATTAAAAAATAAAATACATTTTTCTGCTGGTATCAGCTTGCTTTGCGTTTAATTATACGAGGATACGGCTTTAGTCTGAGGGCACCGATAGGGGTTCGAACCTCGCCTCAGACCTTCGTAATTTCTATCTTCGTTTGAATTGTACGGGGGATCGATCGGAGGGGACATATGAATGTATAGTGCTGTTGATGTATATAGGTGATAGTTACCGTTTACCATAGGGTGTGCCGGTAAGTTGTTTACCATAAAAATATGCTTTCACTAACATTACTTTGAGAGTGTTGTTGTTGATATAAATTTTGCTATACTTCACCGCGTACGTTACCATCCTACGCATTCTACATAAGAATTTTTGCATAGATTGCAACTCGTGGAAACTGGAGCATGCACTTCACGAGCGAACGTTTGGTTTTTGCTGTGCGTCTCTTCTGAGAAGACATTATGATTTACACACGTATAATACATGTAGATCTACTACATACGGAGTTTTATACACGTACATTTTGTGTATTAAACATTTTTGTTTGTGTACATGTCTACATTCCGGTTGCTAATTCATAGAATCATATATACAAATAAATCGTACATGTATAAAAATATTTATACGTTAAGTAGATATTACTTTTTTCAAAAAACACACTTATGGACGATCTCCATACAAACAAATATTTATTTAGCTACTAATGGCCCAGGTAAATAGACACCATGAGTGATGCGCGTTGCCGAGCCTTAAGAAACCTTAATATACCCTTCTTGAAAAACCCCATGCGTTTCTCGTGAGAAAACCTCGGCAGGACGTTTCATATAGCACTGTATTTTATTTCCATTAATTTACCAAAATTATACGGATTCTTATACCATTTACCATGCGTACGAAGTTGTAGGCATAGCTAGTGTATGTTAAAGCAATCGATTATTTTATTAAAGGTTGGCAATACGTGATAATAGGGAACTATTACCAGTCATATCATTTAATGTTCAACGTTTATTTGTTTATTGTCATTTGCCCATATCATTAATATAGGGTGCCTATATGTAGGTACGTAGATAGTAGAAAAATCAATATTAACATATTTAGGACTAGCTGTAGGCACAGCTGGTCCTAAATAAGTATTACACGCGTCAAATTTCAATATAAAATATAGTCTATATGTTGTTCTGATGCATAAGCTATATTATTGTAAAGTTTCATCAAAATCCGTTCAGTAGTTTTTGCGTGAAAGAATAACAAACATCTATATTACAAACTTTCGCATTTATATAACTGTGCTGTGCTGTGCCCGCAGTTTCAGCTGCGAAAAGTACAATATATAAATTTTAATAAAAATTATAGCCTATATATTATTCTGATGCATAAGATATATTATTGTAAAATTTTATCAAAATCCGGTCAGTACGTACTTAACCGTAAAATAAGTACTGGTTGTGCATTGTTTGATCCTAGATGGCGCTGCGTGCATTATCCTGGGTTATTATGTAATTACAAAAAAAGTATTTCTTTTACTTATTTAGTACCGGCTGTGCATAGATTGATCCTAGATAATGCTCTGTGCGTTATTCTGGGTTCTTAAGTACTTACAAAGAAATATAGTATTTCTATTACTTCTTTAGTTCTAGCTGTGCATAGGTTGATCTTAGATAGTGCTGTGTGCATTATCCCGGGTTATTATATAATTACACTTATAATTACAAAAAAATATAGTATCTCTGTTACTTCTTTAGTACTAGCTGTGCGTGCTGTGCGTATTATCGCGGGTTATTATGTAATTAAAAAACAAATGAAGTGTTTCTGTAGTTCTGCAGTACTGCCTGTGCATAGTTTGATCCTAGTTAGTACAGTGTGCATTATCCTGGGTTATTATGTAATTACAAAAAATGTTAGTATTTCTGTTACTTCTTTAGTACTAGCTGTGCGTGCTGTGCGCATTATCGCGGGTTATTATGTAATTAAAAAACAAATGAAGAGTTTCTGTTAGTTCTGCAGTACTGCCTGTGCATAGTTTGATCCTAGATAGCGCTGTGTGCACTATCCTGGGTTATTATGTAATTACAAAAAAAACATTATCTCAGTTACTTCTTTAGTACTGTATGTGCATAGTTTGATCCTAAAGAGCTGTATGCATTGTCCTGGGTTATAATCTTATACATTGATAAGCGAAACAAAACTTTATACTGCTTGTACGAACAAAGTATATAAAATATCCAAAAGTTAAGGATTACACAAAGAATGCGAAAGGGAAGTTTTTTATAATGATTATTACATTATTTTCTTAAACAAAATAAATTGAACAAAGCATAACTACGTTTCAGAATTATATACCATTTTATTAATAATCTTTGACAGCAGTACCCTGATACAATCACAATTTATTATTAATTATGGTCGCAATTTAACCACGGGACGACTGCAAATTATAAAATTGTTATGGGTACTAGGCAACTAATATAAATGCATAAACATTCTTTTTGTAAATACATACATAGAAAACACCCAGATCGATACAAACAATTATACTCATGAATATAAATCTTTGCACCGTGCGAAGAATCGAACCCGCGAGCATCAGAAGTAAAGCAGTGTGTTAAACCGCTACACCACCGAGGCCGTCAAATCTAAAAAAATATAACACACTATTTTAGCTGCTACTACTTTATATGATATTATACAAAGATATATGCGTGCGTTTAATTACAGTATGATTGCCAATGCGTTTCCAGAATATGAATATATTTAAAATATGCGAGTACCTCCTGTATTGTAACAATAGTTTATGTATGCGTTATTATTTCGCAATTTATAGCTTACATGTCCCTGACCTTGTTTATGTACTTGTTATATAATAATGTGTATAATGTTTTAAACCTACTTATTTTTATTGCTTACTGTATTATGATTTTTAATACATATATATCACACATTTCGAATATGTATATTAGAGTTATGATAAATAAAAATATATCCTGGTTTATATTATTTGTTAGATACAAATGTATAATCCTATCCTATATGTATGTATAATTCTCGTGTCACATTGTTAGTTGCCATACTCCTCGGAAACTGCTTGATTGATTTTTATGAGATTTATATGCATATTCAGTAGGTCTGAGAATCAGCTACTATCTATTTTTCATACTCTTAAGTGATAAGGTTTGTCCATCCCTAACTTTTTTATTTTTTTGATAAAATTTAGTTTTTTTTATAATGTGGCATTAGAAAATACACACAACCCAAAATTCTCACCCTCCTATTACCAACCCCTATTTTTTAATAGCGATTTTAATTTATGTGACAAAACAACGTTTGCGTCGTTTGGTCGACTAGTAATATAGATATATTTCATTGAAGAACGTGCGTCATTTGAAATACTACTGAAAATACTATGAATAGAGTACATTTTACTATAAAAAGGACGTTGTCGCTATTTATAGCTTATCTGCAATCACAATAATATAAATATTTACAAATACCTCATAGATAAGGCATGTACCTAATATAAATCGGACCAACAGCCATTTTTGTTACTGAAACTTATAAGAAATCATCTATTATATACATAAAATCTCATTCTAGTATTATTAATCTGTATACATTAACAGATTTAGATGGAATTAGAAAAGACAAAACCTGCGAACCTGCTGGCGATTAAACAAAAACCAAATTCAATTGAGTTTCTTGTTTATTTGTTGAACTGGTAGGGAACAATTTATAATACAAAAAAAATACGTTCATAACTGATTAAAATATCCTACATGAATAAATGTTTTTTTAATTTAAAACAGTTTGTAGAAATTGGATAATATTAGTAATCTATACATATAAATAAGATTAGAGTGTCTGTTTGTAATATTTAAATAACCGTTTATTACTACATGCATATGAATATAAATATGGTATATACACAAAAATAACACTTTTTAAAATTTTTGTTTGTCTGTCGGTCTGTTTGTTCCGGCTAATCTCTGAAATGGCTGAACCGATTTTAACGGGACTTTTTGGCAGGTAGCTGATGTAATAGGGAGTAACTACTACTACTAACTAGGCTACTTTTATTTTAGAAAAAAAAAGTTAAATTCCACGCGGACGAAGTCTCGGGTACAGCTAGTTAGTAATATAGTGCATTTTTTAATTAGAAATATGTTTTATAAGTCATGTTATTTCATTTTGTAATTTCAGTGATGAAGAATCCCCAGTTTCATTGGTGAAGCTTCATGTGATAGCTGATAAAGAAGAGGGCTGGATACAAGTGGTTTCGTCCATGGTGAATGTAATACCTTTGGAAGATCCTTTTGGGCCTTCCGCCATCACTATCTTGTTTGACGACTGTCCGCTGCCGTCCAAAGATTCAGTGATAAGGGTTAGTAAATTATCTATACATCTATACATATATAAATAAAATTGGAGTGTCTGTTTGTAATATTGAAATAACCGTTTTCTACTATATGCATATAAATATAAATACGGTACATACACCAAAGTAACATTTATTACAATTTTTGTCTGTCTGTCTGTTTGTTCCGGCTAATCTCTGAAATGGCTAGTCCGATTTTGACGTTTTTTGGCAGGTAGCTGATATAATAAGGAGTAACTTAGGCTACTTTTATTTTAGAAAAATGCAAATCTAAAGTTAAATTACACGGGAACGAAGTCTCATGTACAGCTAGTATACAATACAATTTTTACTACCGCTTTCACAGTTGGGTTGAAAAGTAATTTAGTCTAAAGTGGTTCTAGAATAACAATTTAGTGACACCGAAACTATCATTCAACACTTGAACCAAATAAATAAAGTCAAATTAAATAATTTATAGATGTAGGACATGCAGCCGCTTATGAACTTCGAATTGTAAGTTAAATATTTTTCCTTCCCTCCAGTTCAGAATACAGATTCAGTTGAGAACTGGCAAGAAACTCAATTGATTTTTTTTATGTCAGTTTATTTACATTCTCTACTCTAGTTGGTGTCTATATCTAACATTAAGTGAGAATCCCGTGCACAAACTACTATTCCCAAGCATGTTTCATTCAAGTAATCGTTTAGTGTGTAATATGCATTACTCAATAAATATGATTTAACAGATGTTTTGAATTTATTTAAAGGTAATTCCAGTATATCTTTCGGTATCTTATTGTGAATTTGTATCAAAATTTACAATAATATACCGAAGGATCATCACAGGATCACATTTCCTATAGAAGACTCAATATTTTCTAATCCACGCGTAACAGAAAATAAGATTGTTCGCAATTGCTCTTACTGCAACATTTGAAGAGAGGCTGACAATAGCGAGATTATTTCACCAGAACATCGGTTCATATATTTATTGTATTACTGACCGTCAAAGTATTATTATAAAGATAGTTGTAATGGATATTGCTATTGAATAATGTAATGATTGCAGGTGACGCAGTTATTCGGCCTGTGTTCTGAGCGCGCCAACACTGGTGACCTGAACATCCGCGTGGAGAGGAACATCTGCGTGGTGCTCGGCTGCATAGCTGAGAAGCTCGCTGGACCTAACAGCGTCGCTGTGCTCACTGAGAACACACTCGACTATCTACTCACATTCCTGGTTTGTTTTTTACTTTCATTGTCGTCTACACAACGATGGTACGAAAGGGAGTAAATAACGAGATAATTGCGAACGGTGATGATGGAAGAGAAAAACATATTACGCCGACCACAAATATGTAAATGGGATAAGAAAGAAGCAGATGATGATGAGGTCGTCGTACACAATCAAATATGGCTTGGGTGGTCTAGCTGTTTAACACGCTGTTCTACTACATCCAATGGTCGCGGGTTCGACTCCTCGCATGGTGCAAATTTATTATAATATGAAATAAATAAATAATAGTGATAATTTTAGCTCTACAATTATGATCAAAGTTAACCTAATAATAATGTTATGACACATTTCTTTGACAGATAAGCAAACGTGATGCGTGTATTGTTCTGTTCGCGCTGATTGCTCTAGAGAAATTCGCACATACGACTGAAAATAAATTGACTATAAAAAATAGACTGGACCGTGAACCGGAGAACCCCTTACTGGTGCTGGAGAGGCTATCAGATAACGATGACCATATGTGGAGACAGGTTGGCTTCTGTGCGAAGTGGGCCTTAGATAATTTATGTAAGTTTTTTTCGAACTACTCAAATGCTGTTGGCCGCAGCTGGCCTTTACAGCTTCATCGGATGATATGAGGCGAGTGCAGATGGCACTCCAAACCCGCGGAAGGACTTATGGAGCGGCTGAAGGCCAACTCCCGCCTGATGGATACGACTTTAGTCTGAGGGCCCCGCTAGGGGTTCGAACCTCGGCTCAGGCCGTCGTAATACCGATCCCCGTTTGAATTGGACGGGGGATCGATCGGAGGGGGTATGTAATTATGAAGTGTATGTATGCGTTAGGAGAGGACAAGATCAAATGTTCTGATCTATGTCTACCCAAAAACTACCGTTTAATGTAATAGTTATTCCGAATAGAATCTATACTAATATTATAAACTGAACCGAATAAATATGTATGAAGTGTTTTTGATAACCACGCGAATGAAGTAACGGGCACAGCCAGTAGAATCTGAAATAATTTATTTAAAAGCACTTTTGAATCATCACTTTTTTTAATACCGCTCATTCGGAAAGCTGTCTCATCCCAAAGAGCGAGATGTTTTAATGTGAAAATACTCACTTCACTCTCTCAATAGTGTAAAATATGTACTGATATCAGTTATTTGAGGAGCACAATAAAATACGTCCGTTCACTATATAACATTTAATTCGAGAGAGCGCAACCTACCCTACAACAATTGTATTTGTGATTCACTTAACTACCTACATATATTACACCTCCACCCTTATATACTAGTACAATTATATTTTACAAATAAAACATTTTTTTTTTTTACATTAGTCGAAGTCGAACCCATATCTATGTACAGACTTCCTACATCGTTTGAGACGGCTCACCGGTGTTTCTATGGGGTTATCAATATCCGATTTTGTAGAAACTCCAGGGGATAATGCCAAATTTGAAGTTACGTGAACCTCACCTCCACCTGAAATTTCTACATCTGCTCCTAACTGTGTAATAGCTTGCATATCCATGGACTCAGTTACGGAATCATCAACACCCGTGTTCGTATGTTGCGATGAAACTACTATATGTGTAGTTGAAGGCACACCATAACAGCTACTACGTCTTTTTTTGATCTGATCTGCATGTCTTTTAATGGATGGACCCCCTTCCCTACTTACAATATAATTTCTAGAACCTACTTTATTGTTGATTATACCTTCTATCCACTTTTTTCCTGTATAGTCTCGCGCCCATACGGTGTCCCCTACATTAATAGTTTTTGGTGTACCGCCTGCGTTATGTACTTGTCTTTGTTGCGATTCCTGTATTTCTACCTGCCTATCTTCTCGTAGTAAATCCAGCCTACACCTTAACTTTCTACGCTGTAATAGCATCGCAGGCGGTACTCCAGTGGTACTGTGTTCTACATTTCTATACATTAACAGATAAGTTTGTAATGATGCATCTAAATCACTACCATCTCTTAATGATTTCTTAATCGCGCGTTTGCACAGTTTGACCGCGTTCTCCGAGGGGTGATACACAGGGGTAAACGTCGTTTTAATACCATTGTTTGCCATAAATTCAGCATACTCTCGACTACTGAATGGTGGTCCATTATCAGAAACAACTTCCTTGGGAAGCCCAAACCGTGCAAAAGTCTCACGGAGTACTTTTATAACCGCTGTTCCCGTGCTTCTCGCCATTAGGAATATTTCTAGCCATTTACTTGTAGCATCTATAATTACTAAAAACCTTTTACCTTGAAATGGTCCTAGGAAATCAATGTGCAAACGCGACCACGGCTCTTTAATATAGGGCCACGGTTGCGGTGGTACATGCGGTGGTGCAGTGCCCTCTACCGCACACGTGATGCACTGCTTACATGTGTTCTCGATGTCTAAATCTATACCTGGCCACCAAATAATACCGCGTGCTATACTCTTCATTTTAACAATTCCTAAATGTCCAACATGTAGTTCTTTCAGTAACTCCGCTCTCAATGCATTAGGTATCACCAACCGATAGCCCCAGATTATACAACCCCTATCGAGATACAACTCATTTCTGCGAATAAAAAAAAGGCTTTAGGGTTTCATCTTTACAATCGTTCGGCCACCCTGATTGTAAAAAATATACTATTTTCATTATTATATCATCCTTCATAATACTATTTTGTACTACTTTCCTTGTTATTGGTAAAAAATTTTGAATAAAATTTAAATAAGTTATTTCTTTGCCCTTTAATTTTTCTTTTCCTATCGGTAACCGAGATAATGCTGCATTGTTCTGGCTTCGTACGTATTCTATGGCATAGTCATATCCCGCTAAAATTACAGCCCAGCGCTGCAACCTGCTAGCTGCCATTATCGGTATACCGGTTTTATCTCCAAAAATTGATACAAGCGGTTTATGATCTGTTCGGAGCGTAAATCTCCGGCCATACAGATATTGATGAAACTTACGCACCCCGTAAATTATAGCCAGGGCTTCTCTATCAATCTGAGAATAGGATCTCTCGGCTGCATTGAGAACTCGGGATGCGTACGCTATTGGCCTCTCCTGTCCTCCAGTCATAATATGTGAAATAACGGCTCCTATTCCCGTACTGCTGGTGTCCGTCGTCAGCACTATAGGCAGCTCCGACGAATAATGGGCTAATACTACACTAGAAATTAACATACATTTTATTTTATTAAATGCATTCATACATTGCACGTTCCACTCATACTTAACTTCTTTTTTTAATAAGTGATATAGTGGGCTCAATACTGTACTTAGATTAGGCACAAATTTAGCATAATACATTACAAGTCCCAAAAAGGAACGTAACTCCGTAATATTGTTTGGTATAGGGGCTTTTTTTTATTGCTTCGATCTTCTCAGGATAGGTATGAACCCCTTTTTTACTTATAACGAACCCTAGATACGTTACCGAGTCTGCAAAAAATGTACATTTCTCTTTTTTTATCTTTAACCCATATTTTTGTAACCTTTCAAAAACTTTATGTAATGTCTGTATGTGTGACTCGTCATCCCTGCCTGTAATAATTAAGTCGTCTAAAAACACCCCTACTGTCGGTATATCTGCAAAAAGTTGCTCCAGTTTTCTTTGAAAAATTCCAGGACTCGACGCTAACCCGTAGATCAGTCTATTGTACATAAATAATCCCTTATGTGTATTAATTACCGTGTATTTTTTTGATTCGTCTAGCTCAAACTGTGCGTACGCTTGCCATAAATCTAATTTTGTAAATTTATTCCCGCCATGCAATTTTGTAAGTAAGTATTCTACCTTCGGAAGGGGATAGTGGTCCACCTCGAGACATTTATTGAGAGTGATCTTAAAATCTGCGCATACCCGTATGGTGCCGTCCTTCTTCATTACCGGTACGATGGGCGTGGCCCAGTCGGAGGTAGTGACCGGCTTGATGATTCCGTCTCTCAGCATCTGGTCGAGCGCGCGGCCCACGGGCTCGCGCAGCGCGTACGCGAGCGGCCGCGCCCGCATGAATACCGGCCGCGCGTCCGGACGCAGCCGGAACCCTACCGTGCCTCCGGTGAACCGTCCCAACTTGTCCTCGAACACCTCACAGTATCTGGAACTGAATTCCCTAATATTAAAGGTATCCGTCGAAGTCCCTATTCTGTAACATGACAATGCCGACAATGATTTATCTATTTCTAATTCTTCTAACCAATTTCTACCCAATAGGCAAGTTTTCCCCTTATCTATTATGTATAAATCTAATTTTTTGCATAACTCGTTGTATTTTACTACCGGTGTAATTTTGCCCAATGGGGATACAGTTTCCCCTGTATAGTACCTTAACACTAAATTACAAGGTTTTAACTTACAAGGTTTGAAATAATTATTGTAACAATCCACATTTATACATGATATAGCACTCCCAGTATCTATTTCCATTTTTAACCATACACCTTCAATATTTATATTGACGGTCTATGGTCCAAAGCATTTCAAATTTGTGTGTAATGAATAATTATTTACCTCGTCACTATTATCACTGTCCGATTTGTCCAAATACCGCACCTGTTCTTCTTGTAAATTGTACAGCGATTTATGACTCTGTATTCTTGGGTACATCTTCTTTAAGTGTCCACTTCGATTACACACTCTACAAACATAGGCCTTAAATTTACATGAAACAGACTCATGTTCCCCCCACATACGTTACATCTATTTTTCCCGCTGTAATTCTGGTTTCTGTTCGATCTGGTGTGTGTATATTGTCTCCTGTCCGCTCCGCTCGTGCCCCCGTCCGCTCCGCTCGTGCCGCTTGGACCGTGTTCGTATTGCTGCGTAGCTCGCCGGCGATAATGGTCGGCGGCCGACCGGCCGCGTGCTCTGCCCCCGCCGCCCGCCGCGTGTCCGATGTGATGCAGCTCGGCCGCCGCTGAGCGCGCCGCCCCTTGCCTACTGTCACCTGGTCTGCTCCTGGTACAGTCTTCTATCAAGGCCGCGTTCGTCTCGGCTGCCTCCATCGACACAGCAATCTTATATGCTCGCTCGAACGGGATCGTGTCATACTCAGTAAATAACCTCTGCCTGATATCATCATTGATTAATCCGCACACGAATTGATCTCTTAGATTTCTCTTAAACTATCCGCCGAAAATCCGCATTGTTTGCTAATTTTTTTTAATTCCGCCACAAAATTAGATATGGTTTCTTCTGACTTTTGTATACGCTGCCTAAATTTAAATCTTTCCGCTAACATACTGGGTTTAGGATTCAAGTGTCCCTTCATGAGTGTCACTAAGTCAGCATAACTTTTATTTGCGGGTTTCGTCGGCGTACACAGATTAACCATAAAGTCATACGCATCACTTCCGATAACTGTTATTAAGGTAGCCACTTGTAGTTCCGTTTTCACAGCGTTCGCCACAAAATACTGTTCTAGCCGGTCGACATACGTTTCCCAGTTGTCTTTGTCAAGGTCGAAAGGTCCGATTTTGCCCACAGACATTTTATACTTTTACTATAAATCACTATTACGACCTTTAAGTACACGCTCATAAGCACTTTATTCCTCGTCGCCACTGTAAAATATGTACTGATATCAGTTATTTGAGGAGCACAATAAAATACGTCCGTTCACTATATAACATTTAATTCGAGAGAGCGCAACCTACCCTACAACAATTGTATTTGTGATTCACTTAACTACCTACATATATTGCAAATAGTAATATATTTAAATAAATAAAGTATAAATTTAACACAACAGTTAATAACTGCGGTGACAGATAGGATTCATACGTAGCGATTGCATTGTCACAAATAGGTACCTACTATAAATTATAACAAAATATACGGACAACAGCCTCGGTGGTATAGAACCGATTTTCTTCCGATAGTCGCGGGTTCGATTCGTCGCATGGTACAAACATATTCATGATGCTGTTTGTTATTTATATTATGAATATATTTACAAACAAAGTATAAGTATTTATATCAGTAGTCTAGTACTCATAACACAAGCTCTACTACTAGTTGGTTAACTAGATGGCACTGTGTTTATTGTCCATAGTTATTTATTTTATGCTAATATACTTATAAGTACATTATTTATTTATAATTACAGTTATAGTAGAGGACAGAAAATTATCCTACGAATTAGTGGACATGTCCGGCATAAATGTGATACTAAATTCTCACGACGTGAGCGAGTACCTCAAGATCTCGTGCAACGGTCTGGAGGCGAGGTGCGATTCGAACTCTTTTGAAAGTGTTCGCTGCACGTTCCAAGTGGACGACGGCTGCTGGTACTACGAGTCGCTGATAGTCACGCCCGGGGTCATGCAGATTGGATGGGCAACCAAGAATAGCCATTTTTTGAATCATGTAAGTCTATATAAACTGCCGATTTTGATGTTCCACGACCTCGGTGATCTAACGATTTACGTTAGACAACCGCTTTACGTTCAATGATGGCAGGTTCGATTCCTCGTACGACACAAATAGATAGGTTTTTATAGATAGAAATGGAGTAGAAACTAATTTTATAGTATTAATAACAAAAGAGGAACACACCTCTTATGTTATTAATACTATAAAATTATATAATAATTATATACATACAAACTTATGAATACTTATGACACATACATATGTGTCATAAGTATTCATAAGTTTGTATGTCAGGTATCAAAAATAATAATAATTTATTAAGTTAAATTATATGTTGAAATAAATATTATTATTGTTTCATGTATGTATACATATAAGTAACATTTGATTAATATTATATACTTATAAATCAAAGAAACTTTAGTCGTATCTAATTGCGGCTGGAGTAGTTAATTTTATATATAAAATTCTCGTGTCACAGTTTTTGTTCCCATATTTCTCTCCCATGATTCTCATGAAATTTTGTGAGCGTATTGAGTAGGTCTGAGAATCGGCCAACATCTATTTTTCATTTCCCTAAGTGTTAGGGGTAGTCCACCTCTAAATTTTTTTTTAGAATAGAATAGAATAGAAAATCATTTATTCAAATAAACTTAATTTAAGCACTTTTGAATAGTCATAACAATTTGTTTTTTATCTACCACTCGTTCGGAAAGCTGTCTCATCACAAGAAGAACGAGCAAGAAACTTGTGTGTTGCTCTTTTAAATAATCCTTGTAAGTTTACATTTACAAGTCGAAACGTGTGAATACAAACTACCAACAAGCACTAATTTTTTGGGTCAAATATAATCATGCAATAAGATTAAATCAGTCGTAGTGATAAGAGCAGACCAGTCCCTACAAGCAGCACTCGTTCACGAGTATGACGGATGAGCCAGCCATCACTGCGCTCGACCATATTTTAGGGAGCCCATTGACCCGGCCCACCACGCCGCCACATGTCTGGACATTTTAGTGAGCATGACTACTCATTCCACACGACCACGTCACAGCTACAAAAATTACTATATGGTAGTTACAGTATTCGCACTTTACATAAGGATGCATGCGGCAATCAATACAAAAGCCGCTACGCTATCATATATCAAGAAAGCAGTATGAAAATTAAAATTATAACGTTGTCCGCAAATAAACTTATTCTTGCTATATATTGCTATCATCTATAAATTCATCTGGAAATAGTATAAATATAAAAACATAATTACGTCCATTTTGTATCTGTCTTGTGCACAATAAATTTACTATTAATTATTTTTGTTTACAATACAGGAAGGATTCGGCATCGGCGATGACCTATATTCATTATCATACGACGGGTGCCGTAAACTGGTGTGGTACAGGGCACGACCGTCCGCAGTAACAGAGGTGCCCGCGTGGAGGCCCGGCGACATCCTGGGCTGTCTAATAGACATTAACACCAAAGAAGTCATATTCTACATCAATGGGCTACGCATCCAATCTTGTAAGGAAATATTCGAAACAACCAGGTAATTAATTCTTAACATTTGTATGTCTCTATCTCTATCTATCTTCGACGATGGTCGCGGATTTGATTCCACGCACGGCACAAACATTTCATTAGTATGATTATTTGTATCGATCGAGGTATTTTCTATGTATATTATGCATTTAAAAAAAACAAAATTATCTAAGTATTTATGTCAGTCATCTAGTACTCATAACACAAGCTCTGCTTACCGATGGTGCTGTTTGAATGGTCCACAGTTATTATTTATTATTAATATGTCATACTAATATCCTCATCATAACTTATACGTTAACATCTTTTATTTTATACATCAGATTGGGTTTCTTCGCAGCGGCTAGCTTCATGGCATTTCAACAATGTAGATTTAACTTTGGTCACGAGCCGTTCAAGTATCCACCCACAGACAGACCATTCTCATCTTTCAACGCCCATGGATATCTCACTGATGAGCAAAAGAAGGTAAGAATTCATTTCCTAAGGGGTAACAATGCAGTAGACCCATGGTGAGCAAACTTTTTAATCGACGGGACAATTTAAATATTAAAAGTTTTTGGCGGGCTGCACATAAAGTACCTTTAAATAGTAATACCTTTTAATAATCTACAAAACTTTATTCATAATAAACATTATAATTAACAAATTTTTAAATTTCAGAAAGTATAGATTTTTGTTCAATTGAACAAAGTTCAATGCAAACGTTCGTATTACATGTTTGAACAAGTCTGGTCCCAAGAAATGTTACAGTTTAATGTATACCATACCATAGTTTTATGATTAACTTTATAACAATATATTGATTGAATGAATGTTGAATGAATGTTTGGCGGGCCTCAAAAATATGTTTTACGGGCCGCAAGTAGCTCGCTGGCCACTTGTTGCTCATCCCCATTGTAGTCATTAGAGTATATAACGTTTTTTATATCACAGACATGTACCCCTTCCGATGGAGCCCCAGTCCATTGGACTGGGGATCCATCGGAAGGGATCAAAATTACGACGGCCTGAGTCGAGGTTCGAACCCCTAGCGGTGCCCTCAGACTAAAGTCGTTTCAATCAGGCGGGAGTTCGCCTTCAGCCGCTCCATAAGGACTTCTTTTGGTTTGGTGTGCCATCTGCATTCGCCCCCTATCGTCCAGTGAAGCTGTAAAGGCCAGCTGCGGCAGACGGCATTAGAGTCGTCCGAAAAACATATATGGATGAATGAATGAAACTCTATTGTTCCTCTCACAAGAAGACAATAACAATTGCATAAATTAATATGTATACCAAATATAAAAAACAACGTAATTACAATATTGAGGTAACAAAGGGCTGACTTATTGCTAAATAGCGGTTTCGCCATGGTATATGTCTACAGCACATCCATGACTCGGTGGTCTAGCTACTTAGCAGCCCTTACTTCCGAAGAACGCGGGTTCGAATTATCGCTCACTATTATATACATTTGTGTTCATTAGTATGATTGTTTGTAAATATGTATTTACTAAATAATATTTGCACAGGTCGTGCCAAGGCGGATATATTTAGAACAGCTGAGGTGTTCCAGCGTGAAGGAAGACTCGTGCACGCTCTGTTTTGACGACACCGCCTGCTGTGTTCTTATTCCATGTGGTCACAGGTAATTATTTATTCGTCTTCTTAAATTTATTTATATAAAAAAAACAGAACTGAAAGAGAAATTAAAATCGTAGTTACAGTAAACTACGATTTTGGTTTTTCTTTCAGTTTTATGTACGTCTACTGTTTGTCAGATATTTATAAATTGTGTAAAAATAAACTTAACATCATACATAGTTGTCTATGTTTGATAGTTGATTCCTAATAGCGATAGGAATTTTCATTTAATGTTAGTCATAGACACCTATATAAGTAAACATTTTTTAAATAACAATAATAAGAAATTTAATTGTGTTTCTTGCCTGTTCTTCTTAATTGAATCTATAATCTGAACTGGATGGTAGGGAATAACTATTAATATAATAATTTGACGTTCATAAGTGGCTAAAATGTCTGGCATTCATAATTTATTTTTAAATTTGATATTATATATGGTTAATTAATAAATGAATAGCATTATTGATCTCAGTATTCATTATTTTTCTATCACAGCAAAGTCAAATCGCTTAAATTCTTGAGTAAATTGACTACCAAATACACTTTTTATGTTATATTATTCATTTTTAATTTTATGACTAAGATTTTGAAATTTATGACTAATTTAGTTTGCAACTGGACAGACTTGAATTAGATTACATCAAACATCCATACTTCAGTCGAAGTCTCGTTGTTTTTTATTTTTTAAATCAATGCAACGGCTTATTTACACATATGTTGTTTGTGTTGATACTGATATTTAAATGAATAAAATGTATACAAAATGTAACATAAAACAAATATGTCTTTATCAATATGGGTAGTAATTAATTGCAAATAAACCCACGACACTTGCATAATGTTATCTTTCATGTTGTTATATAAAATTATCACTACCCTATAGCAACACGCTGCATATAGCGCAGTTCAAGCATGTTCAAGTCTATATATAGGATACGATATTAAAGAATACATTTTTTATCTTAATTATTGGTCAAGAATAGCACAACTGTTGAGATATTGTTAGGTAGTTGTAGTATAGTAGTTGATAATGATAGGTTTCCCCATCAGCAAGTAACAGTTTCGTAACAGAAATAATTAACATAATATAAAATCTTCTTATATATAAAATTCTCGTGTCACAATGTTAGTTACCATATTCCTCCCAAATGACTTGATTGATTTTTATGAAATTTTATATGCATATTCAGTAGGTCTGAGAATCGGCTACTATATATTTTTATACCTCTATGTGGTAAGGAATATCCACCCCTAATAATAATTTTTCTATTTTTTCGCCATATTTTATTTTCATTTTATTATTATTTAGGATTGAAAAATACATACAATCCTAAATTTTCACCATTCTAGCATGAACCCTAATTTTTTAATAGCGATTTTAATTTATATGGCAAAACAACGTTTGCCGGGACAGCTAGTAATATCTAATATTCGTGGACAATTCACACAACATCATCCAGTCCCGCGGTAAACAGAGCTTGCGTTATGGGTACTAGGCAACTGATATAAAGACATAGATATTTTTTGTAAATACATACGTAATATATGTACATAGAAAATACCCAGACCGTCGTGCGAGGAATTGAACCCACGACCATCGGAAGTGAGTGGGTGTGCTAAACCACTAGACCACCACTATGCTATGCAAGCAAGCTCGACATATAGCATAGCATAGTCATCGTCATCAGTCATATTGGTGTATATCCTGTAATAATTAATTTTCAAATTGCGCATATACGTACATATATGTTATATAAGTACAATGACAAAAACACGATAATTTCGCTAAACTTTAACCTACTGTTGCATATATTTTGTAATGTTGAATTGTTATGTTACATTTGTTATAGTTTCATAGTATGACCTGAGTTTGCATGTATTAGTAATTCGCTACTAACTCTTGTAATATCCTAAATAAGAAAACGGCTAGCTTTTATGAAAATGTAGGAAGAAACCACAACCATTTTCCTGTCTGAACACATGCCAATCATATTCTAGTAATATAATGGTATATTCTATATATTACATATAGATATAACATTTAAAGCAACGATGTTATTTTTAATAATAAATTGTATATTACAGGGGATTCTGCTCGCTGTGCACCTCGCAACTGAAGGAGTGTCCAATGTGCCGGGCGGCCATAGTAAATATTAGGATAGAGGACACATGACAAGACAAGTCTCGCTCCCAGAGTTTGCCCGGCAGCCGGGAGCGAAGCGAGTCGCCCAGCCCCAACATCACCCTGGATGAATCCCCCACCCCCTCTAGAGTCAGCACTCCGTCACCGATGCAGATACAATGCGATGCCGATGAGGAACTGGAATTAGATGATCAAGTGTCCGATCTACGACCCCGAGACTTCCTAACATGTGTCAGGTATCAGTTGGGATAGCGATACGTGATACGGCTGACTCGTTTCTCAGAGACTGACGCGATATAATTATTAATATTGTTAAACAGGTTTTAACACGAATAATTTTATAGCTAACTAGCTGTGGCTACGGTTTCACGCGTGAAGTTTATTGCCTATATGTTATTCTGAAGATATATAAGCTATATTACTGTAAAGTTTCATCAAAATACGTTAAGTAATTTTTACGTGAAAGAGTAACAAACATCCATCCATACTCACGCATTTTCATTTTCACGCGTTTATAATATTAATAAGATGAAGGTATTTACCTATTTACCTCTGTCGATGTTTCGACTAGGTTGCACATTTATTTTAGAATAAAAATTATCCATATTTCGTCGACAATTAATATTATTTGTTATTGAATACCTTTATTTGCCATATAATTATTCGTGTTAAAAACATATTTTGAACTATATTAATAATGTGTACTAAAAAGTTTAAAAACTATATAATTAGTAGTTACCGTAGAAGCTAGCATTTACGGGGTGACATTTGTCCGAGTGGCAAATATTCTTTATCCTATTACCACGCACTTTAAGATACGGTTGTAATATTACATTATATCCCAAGAGAAAAGTAAAGCCTATTACTCACTAAACGATTACTAAAATGACAAACGTGCATGGCAATAGTTGTTCATGCAAGGGATTTTCATTTAATATTACATATAGACACTTACATACTTAAATAAACTAGATTTTAAAAAAGAAAATCAATAGAGTTTCTAGCCAGTTCTTCTTAATTGAATACAGAACTGGACGGAAGGAAAAAAAAATATTATACAAAAAAATTACGTTCATAACGTCTGAAATGTCCTATATGAATAAATTATTTTTGATTCCATTAATTGAGAACAAGATATATCATAGTGAGAATATACGACAATATTTTAACGAATTACACTAAATTTAGCACACATTGTAAGATAATTAAGAAACGAAGGAGAATTTAAAAAGTCTCCGAGAGAATTTTCTAGTTTAGTTACTAACTGTAACTAAACTAGATAATTTCTCTCCGATAAGACAATATTAGACGGCCTCGGTGGTCTAGCGGTCTAACACATCGCTTTACTTCCGATAGTCGCGGGTTCTAAATATTTGCACGGTGGAAACGTTTGTATTCATGAGTGTGATTGTTTCTATAGATCTGGGTGTCTTCTATGCCTTATGTATCTATTTACAAAAATAAAATTTATATCAGTTGTCTAGTAAGTCAATTGCAATCAAGTCAAGTCAATTGTCCCATAACACTAGATCTGCTTACCGTTGGACTAGATGGCGCTGTGTTAATTGTCCTAGCTGTGCCCGCGGTTTTACCTGCGTGAAATTTATAGCTTATTTGATATTCTTATGTATAAATGTAAAGTTTCATGAAAATCCGTTAAAAAGAATAACAAACATCCACTCATAATCACAAACTCTCGCGTTTATAATATTAATAAGATATTATGATTAATCGTTTGTTTTTTTCATAATTTCATCGTAATTTCATCGTATTTCATCATAATTTCATCTGTGATTTGGTGTGGGAGACAAATAGTTGTCACGAAGACAAATATCACCCGTATATGTGGCCTCGTGCTGGCTTGGCTTTGTTGCTTAGTATTATATTACAGTGCATGGTTGCTGCCGTAACGAGAATCCGAACCAATTGTTTTACTAGATTATGTAATTGTCATAGCATTTTATTTTCATGCGAGTAATATATAACATGTTATAATAAGTAATAATATTCTATTCTTGTATAAAGGAAAAAAATATTTATCAAAATATGCTCAATTTATGTTGTAACATATACAGTATATAATATGAATCTAATATTATTTAATAAACGCGTCAAATTATTATTTTATCCGTATACTTTTTACTGTTTTCTTTATTCTATTATATATTTCATAAATTTCAACTTTATACAATAACTACATATTATTTCAGTTTTACTATATTTACTATTGACAGAATTTTGTCAAGTTGGGGAATAATAGATTAATGCAGTAACCTTAAATATGATTACAGTATGGGTTTTGTCTCAACTACACTGAATATTTTTTATTCTATATCAATATTGTCACAAATAATCTATGGTTTTTATTTTGTACAAATTATGAAAATTTTATGCGTATTCGTAAAGTACTGAAAATTTAAATTTTTTAATTTGTAGGGTACACATAGTCACATTGTAAATTAAAATAATCATATATTAGTACAATAATAAAATATATGGCCATTAGCAAGCTTTCAAATTGTTTAATGTGTCTTATAAATATATAAATTCATAGATACTGCTTATAGTATTGTGATCTATAGGTTTCGTTAATTTTTACCCTATAATTGAGTAAATTAAGGTATATGCAAATGAATTATAGCTAGATAAATAGAATGTGCTTTATATTCGTTATAAAATGATAGAAGTTAGAATAAATGTATTTGATAGCATTAATTTATTTCATTTCGCTTCATTTTAAATTGATTTTTGAGTAAAGAACACAATATTAAGAACAAAGTTAGAAAATTTACACATATTTTTCATATAGTAAAATTACATTTGAAATATTATTTTGTATCAAGCCCGATAAAGCACTAACTTCCTAAATTCAATCATCAAAAAGTAGCTGTGGAGATATCATTTTGCCTGATTCATTAAATCCTTCTGGAACATTCCATAACTATCCAGGATGTGTATTACTATCTGTTATTGACCGTAGGTGGTTGGGTTAGGTCGAGGGTCGTAACTAGTTTGTAGTATAGAAATAATACGACTAAGTTGATTGAGTTATTGCAACATTTTATTTACACTTGGTTGTGATGTCCACTACCTTCAGGGTGATATGATGTGGCTCTAATTAGCAGCTTGTAATGTTAATTAAATATCTTATTATATATTATAGTTACAAAGTAGTCACACATTCACAAATATGTAGCAATTTCAATAATTATTTACGCCAATAGGACATCTAATTATGCACAATTTAGTTTCTTTGTGAGGGGTTATAATAAAAAGTAAAGCCTATTTTTATATGGATAAATGTCGGATTTGGTGTTTAATGAAATTACATGTATATATATGTATATATTTAATCCTTTTTCATTACTTTGCCTGTCGTAGACAATTCTATATGTAGTTGGAAATAAGTACATATATTTCTTAATGTCACCTTAATATTTATTTTAAAAGTTGCGCTTTAACACCATAATGCTTCCAGAAGTGCAGGGAGTATAAAAGTGTACACTGCTGCAAGTGAAAATTCAAAATTAAGCCCCATACGGAATTGTTGTAATTTTTGGGATTGATTATAGGGTGTAGACATTTAATAAGAAATATTGTTTATACACATATACAGTATTGTGAAAAAAATATTTCAAACGAGCAGAATCTCAACAGCTAGTAATACTATAAACATATTTAGTAACCTTAGTATTATTTTAGTAAAATTACTAAAATAATACTAAGGTTATTTAAATAATTTTATAGTTTAATTTTATAGTACTCTTCAATTTAATATATGAAGTAATGAAAGTAATGATTATTACACTGTATTATTATATTGAAGTATTAAAGCGATAACTTTTAGGATAGGAGAAGCACATGATTCTTTCTGATGCCTCCTGGCTAGCCGTGATGTAAAAAATTATCATAACTTGAATAATTGAAGTTAAAAAAAGCAAATATAAATTGTTCATGATACATATCACATAAATATTATGGTGACATTTATACCAAAGTATTTGACGGGAGAATATATTATTTTTCAACAATAACTATACTTTTAATTGATAAGATTGAATTAAAATAAATTTATTGAATGATACAGTTATTTTTTTATAACCATGTACGGGATTTTGATCAACTTACTATGTTTTTGTCTGCGAGGCGATACTCTTTGTATAATAAGATTTAATCGCCCTGATGAAGATTACCGTATCAATTCGAAACAATGTTCACGAAAGACGAAAACATAGTAATTTCAATAAATTCCCGCACAAAGTTATAAAATATTATTCCAAATTATCATAAGTTTTAAAAATAATGCCACAATTAAATCGCCATAGTTACTTTTAAATTCTATACACTTTTTTACGTAAGTAGCCATTAATTTTAAACACATTTTTAGTATTTTTATTATACTTTATACAGATATCAATCTAGTCGTTATAAAATTTACTAAATTCATCCGATTGTTATATTATTCCGTCCAGATATCCAGCCTAGTGTTGTTAGCTATTATTTATCATCCATATCTCATTATTATCATACTCAGTTCTATACAAGGCCTCCCTTATACACGTAAATTGTCAAGGCACTGCAACAGGACCTCTTTAAACCGAATTTCAAAAATTTAGGCCCAGTTCGGTTTTAGGATTGTAGTAAACAGTATTTATATGGTATATTTTATTAAATACTAGCTACTCGCCCCGGCTTCGCACAGGTACACCTGTACATGTTTATATAAATAAATCTTCCTCTTGAATCACACTATCTATTACAAAAAAACCGACAGACAGACAGCGACAGCTACTTTGTTTTCTACCATATAATAATGATGAAGTATCGTCTTTAAAATAGAACTATAGTATGATTCACTCCACGAGTGTACCAGTATGGCAGCCAGTAAGGAGAAATGGCGAGCTGTTGTACGGCGGATGACATCTCTCACCTTAGAACATAATGACTACGACCTTTCTGACAAGAGCGTATCGAATAAAAATAAGAAGAATAGTATCGTGAAGTTTGTTGAAATTTTAACTGTATGTATATTCATTTATAAATCCGTCATACTCGTGAACATTTGCTGCTTGTGGGGATTGGTCTGTTCAGGTTGCGAACACTAATTAGACTTTTTGCTTTTGTAATAGCATATGCTGGTGGTCACTATATTCTCCCAAATTTGAATTTATTTGAAAAGAATACGAACCGAGTTTCTTGTCAGTTCTTCTCATCTCGAAATCATACTGAACTGACGGTGGATTTGACATATCATAAGAGTCTGTAATAGACCTACATGAATAAATTTAGAATTTTAGAAAACGTCATTTTATTTAGTGTCTCATACATTTAATTTTAGTTTTTCGGGAGATTTTTAATGTAAATTAGGGGTAGGGCGTTCGAATTGAAGAGGTCCTGGTGTACTTTCACCTGTCCTGTGTCTATCTACTCTATGGAAAATATTGATGTTGCTTTATCTGGTTGTGTTACCTTATACTGCATTATCC